TAAAAGAACATTGCTCCTTGGATGAAAAAAGAAGGCCAAGCCTGAAGAGAACAAGCTGTCAACTGTCTATTCAAACATACCAGAAAGCAGACTAGAATGAAATCTTACTTCCAGCTAAATAGCTATTATTCTAGAATTCAAACTAACACACAAAAGCACAAAAATGAAAATGCTAAACACATGTATACCAAATAACTTCAAAATAAAGGCAAATGGGCTGGAGTATAGCTTAAGGGTAAAACAGTGAGGACCTGGATTCAATCCCAGAACAAGAGAAGAAGAATGAACAAAGTACAGCATCACTGTGTCTACAGTCACAACTACTTAGGAGGACCAAGGGCCCATATAGTCCAGCATGGGCAGGACTGCAGCTTTGGCTCACTGGTTAAGGGTTTGCTTAGTATGTCCAAGTCCTTGGGTTTAATCATCAGCATCTTTTAATCTAATACATAGGCTGCTATTCCTGTAAAATAATACAAATTATACATACTCATAGATGTGTACATATGATAATATGACTACTGAAACGTGGTCTAAAAGAGAGTAAGTTTATAAAAATTAATTCAGACTGTGAAGAATAAAATAAAAATATCAACTTAAATCTTTTAATTTCTTTTTTTCTTTTGGGAGAGTGATGAAAACAGTCTCAATAACTGAGTGCAGGAAATAAATTTGCCTATTAATAATCTGTTAGGGGCTGGAAAGATGGCTTAGTGATGTACTGGTCTTAGAGGAACAGTCTCGTTCTCAGTATCCACAACAAGCTCATGGGCTGTAACTTTTAGCTACAGGAAATCTAATTTCCAAGTCCACAGAGGCCACAAACACAGATAATAAAAAATAAATTATAAAACTGGAATAAGTGAAGGCCTGTAATCCCAGCACTTGGGAGGCAGAGAAAGGATGATTAGAAGTTCAAGGTCATCCTCAGTTATACAATGAGTTTTCAGTTAGCTTGGGCTATGTGAGACCTTGTTTCAATAACAGAAATATTTTTTTATTTTAGGTAACTGGAGAGATGGGCTTAGTCATCAGTGGGAACAGTACTGGTTTAAGAATGCACACTGTTCTTGCAGAGGACCCTCATGTTCAGTTCTCATGCAGCTCAAACACCTTAACTCCAGCCCCAGGGCCTTTTCAGGGACAACACATACATTTTCTTTTTTTTTTTTTTTTTTAATTTAAAAAATTTTAAGAAATTTAAGGCCACCCTCAGTTATACAATAAGGGAGTTTTGCTTGTATGTTTTGTTTTTTTGGTTGTTGTCTGACTGGGGAAGTTTTGCTTGTATGTTTTGGTTTTTTGTTGTCTGACTGGGGTCTTTTGGTTTTTTGGGGGGGAGATTTTATTGTTGTTTTGTTGGTTTTGAAACAGGGTCTCACTCTACAGAGACCAGTCTGGCCTAGAAACCACTATGCAATTCAGACTAACCTCAAACTCATAGCAACCCTCCTACCTCAGCCTCCCAAGTGCCGGCATAAGCCACCATGTTTGACATTTCGATTTTTCTTTTCCTTTTTTTTTTTTTTTTTTGAGACAGCATCCCAAGCTACCCTCCAACTCAAAATCCTCTCCCTACCTCTAGAATGCTGGGATTATGCACATGTTTCACCATGATAAAAACTCCAGGTCTTTTTTTTAAGGTTACATTTATTTGGTTTTGTTTTTTGTTGTTTTATTTGGAGGTATGACTTGGAATGTGAGTGGAGGTCAGAGAACAACTTGTGGCATGTATGTTCCCAGGGTCAAACTTAGGTTGGTGGTCTTGGTGACAAGTTCCCTTACCCACTGAGCCATCTCAGGGCTTTCATTTGTCCTCTCTTCTATCACCTCTTCTTCAATCACTATTACTCTGAGAAACTTTTGCTTGTTCCTAGGGCCTTGGGCTTTGAAGTACACATTCTACCCACTGAGCCATACTTCCTACATAATTGTTATTAACGATGGTAAAGTCACTCTAGAGTAACTAACTGCGATGTCACTCAGTCACCCATCACTCTTCCTTTTAAGGTGTTCCCAGTGGATTTCAATGTCCTCTCTTTAAGGTCGTCCTTCATCTCTGAGAGTATCATCCTGTACCTTTTTCTAATCTCACCTTTTAAATGCATTCTACATACTATCCAACAAAAACTGTTTTCTTGGCCAGGCAGTGGTAGCAAATGTCTTTAATCCCAGCACATGGGAGGCAGTGGTAGGCGGATCTCTGTGAGTTCGAGGCCAGCCTGGTCTACAGAGCAAGTTCCAGGACAGGCTCCAAAGCTACACAGCAAAACCTTGTCTTGAAAACAAAAAACAGTTTTCTGAAAATGCTGCTTTATCTTTCTGGATCATTACTATACCATATCTGTCAAAGTTCTTAAAACCAGCTTATAACTCTTTTCTGGCAAGTGAGAAAGCCATTTCTGATCAAGAATTCCCTAACTGTATTTGAGCAACTTGATCTGATCTTAAAGAGGCCTAGAGGTAGGCACCATATCTAAGTCAAACCAGTCCAGGGCAATTTTAACCAAAAGAATATCAGATTCAGATTGAGATTTTAGGCTCTTAGGACAGGAGGTACAGGTTGGAGAGACAACCTGTGTATATAAGAACTTGTCACCAGTACCACACATCAGCCCTGACCACCTGAGTTCAGATGCCCAGAACCCATGGAAAAGGCAGACTCAGTAGTACAAGCACCTGTAAGCCCAGCAAGCCTCTACAGAGGTAGAGCTGGGACATCTGCTCACAGGCCAGCTCACTTGTTTATGCAGAGTAAAAGAGACTCTCTCTCTCTCTTTTATCTTTTATTTTTACATTTTTGAGACAAGGTCAATGTAATCCTGACTATCCTGGAACTTGCTGTATTGACCAGACTGCTTCTGCCTCCTGAATGCTGAAATTAAAGCCATTTGCCACCATGATTCACCAAGACCATCTTAAAGAACTTGAAAGGTGGGGACTGATAAAACGGCTGTCCTCTAACTCACACTCTTTTTCAAGTGCACACGCACAGACACAGACACACAGACACACACCCCTATTTTTTTTTTTTTTGAATTCCAAAAGATTTTTTTTTTAAAAGCCATAAGCTACCTAGGTATGGCAGCCCTCACCAATCTCAGCACACAAGAGGTTGAGACAAGAGGTTAATAGTTTGAGGCAAGCCAGCCTGGTCTCCATAGTAAGTTAAAGACCTGTCTCAAAAAGAGATTGGGAGAGACAGAAAGGTGAAAAGAGGAGCTGAGAAATAGTCATCCCTCTCCACAGGAGGCAATATAAGAAGGTAGAAAATAACTTAATGGCTGCCTAGATTGCAATTCTAGATATGTATTTCCCTTAAAACTATAGCTTTCTAATCCATAAAATGAGAACTACTTCAGGAATTTGACAATTCAATGAAGTAATTGTTGTAAAACATTTAGTACAGTATCTGGAACATAGTTAAACTCTTGGAGAGGTTAACTCCTAGTCAATAATTTTCACAAAGATAAAGAAGGAAGGTACTGCAGAAGAGATAACAGGACTAGCTCAAGTTCTGTCCATATTAAGACTCTTGGTTCCTATATCCTTACAATAAAAGATACTCTGTTTTGTTCATACAAGCTTAGAATCGGACTTCTGTCTCATTACTGTCACTACAGGAATTTAAAAGACTATACCTCTTTTTTAATGGTTTCCCACATCCCACCAATTTAAATAAATTGAAATAAAACATGCTCCCAATATAGCTACCATATTTACCGTGACATTCTGACCACTTCCATAAAACAAAGGGATAAAAATGACTAGTATTTGAGGCATCCCCCCACATCCCAACCAGTACTTTTCCTCTCATGTATTTAATGCTTCTACCTTGTCCTCCTCATTTCACATTAGTGTTACTGAGAATCTGGTAATTCAAGCTAATTTCATTTGCTTAGAAACCACCCTAAACATAACATCCAACACAGAGAAAAAGTCAACAAGTAGACTTTCCATATTTCAAGTTTCTCCACACACACACACAAACTTTTGAAGCCCAGATTAGTCTCAAACTAGAACTCACTATATAGCCAAGGAAGACTATTAACTTTTGATCCCCTACCTTCACTTCCTGAGCATTAGGATTACAGATGTATATGACACCACACCCACTTTCATGCAGTACTGGGGTGGAACTTAGGGCCCCTCATGCACACTAAGCAAGCTTTCTACCAACTGAACTACATTCCCTCAAAGTCTTGAAATGTGCATGATTGACTTCATCTTCCATTTGCTAAGTCCTATTATTTTAACATTACAATAATTAGCTATAATTCTGCTACACTGGATTTTCACATACAATCAACTGAGATTCACTATCTTATATAAGCTACCGGGCCATAAGGGCTACTCACCTAGAACCACCCAAGGCAAAAATAAAACTTCTACTTTTGCTATATGCCTAAGAAAAGAGGTTGAAATGTCTGTTTTCTAACTTCAAGCCGAACCTCTCTCATTTCCCAAAAAGTCACCAAAGTGCTCACAAAGACGATGACAAGTTTAAAAAAACAGAAAACAGAAACCCTCTGCTGCTTGTCAAAATTGTTACCATGTGAAAACAAAGAGTACTGAAAGTTAAACTACACACCACAAATATAGTAAAATGACAGTCACTAAAGCCCTAAGATTTTCCCCCATACTTATTAAATCTAACAGAAACACCAGCAAGCCAGCTCTAGTAAAGAGATCCTGGGTAGAGCGCTGAAAATACCGTTCAGAGGTATAGTGTTTTCCTAACACGTAAGAGGACCTGAATTTAATCCTCAGTCCTGAATATCATTTCTTACCTCTACTTTTCAAAGTACCCTGTGACACTTAGACACTTATACATACACACATACACACACACAACATACATACACACACACATATACACACACACACAACTTAATTTTTCAGATTTTACAAAATCAGTTTAAAGCTTGAAGTCAATATTTAATATCTGGCATCCTAACCTACTTAAGTTTTTTTTAATATTTTTGATAAACAGTCCTTACCACTCTGGCTGCTCTCTCCTGAGATTCACATTTCCTGCAAAACCATGGTCCAGTAGGTACTTGAACAATGCCATAGCAAGCTGTGGGGAAACAAAATTGTTTGAATTTGAAAACATTTATATTTGAAAACTAAGAAAAAGATCTTTTTAACCCTACCAACTACTTCTCACTATTCAACACCTTGCTTTATAAATTATTTTATATAATGTTGAGTGTACATTTAATTAATAAGTAAAACTATAACAATAAAATTTAAAAATTCAACCTTCTGAGTTATTTCCACTAATGTCCAAAAAGTGTTTGGTATGACAGTACATAAATGTAATCACAAAACTCTATAGAGGCTAAACCAAGATGATTCTAAGTTTCAAGTCACTCTGAACTACACAGAAACTCTATTTTCAAATAAGTCAAAATGCTACAAATGTTAGGTTTTTTTAATTGCATGTTGGGATATTGTTTTTCAGTGATTATGTAAACTTAGCACAAGTTTATGTAAAGAATAAATCAGAAATTCATTGATTCATTCCTTGCCCTATAGTTTAAGTACCAAGTGTTTCCTGTTGCTTTGAGGTAGGATTTCACTGACTCAGCCTCTTAAAGTGCTGGGACTATAAGCACACAAATGAATGAAACAACAAAAACAGAGATTAAGAACAAAATAATAAGACTAAGACAAGCAACAGATACAAAAGAAAATATGCCACAGTGAAATACTTGTGGGCTGCTAGGGTTGTGGCTTATCTCCAGCAAGCCTGTAATGTCAGCACTCAGGAAATGGAGGCCAACCTTTACCACACAGCAAATTCAAAGCCAGCCCAGGTTATTCGATACTAAAGTGATAGTTTATGGTACAGCACTCTGCATAGCATGTTCAAGGTCCTGAGTCTAATCCCCAGCACTTAAAAAAAATTATGTGAAATATCCAAAAAAGGCAAATAAATAGACAAAGTTGTGGTAATCTAGGTATATGAGAATCAGGTAGAAACAAGAAGTGACTTCTAATGGATCCAAGCTTTTTATTAGGGTGATGAAAAGGATCTAAAACAAACTGTGGTAGTGTTTGCACAACTCTATGAATATATCAAAAACCACTGGATTATACACACTCCAAACAGGTGAACTGCACAGTATGTAATTGTATTTCAATACAACTGTCATAAAAAAAACTTTATATAATTTGCATACCACAAGTATTCTCATTCTCACCTACCTAATTCACAGCCTCATTTTTTAAAAATATTTTAGAATATATTTTATTTATTGTATATACATGTGTATGTCAATTTCCAGGAATTTGTTCTCTCCTTCCACTATATGGGTCCAACAGTTGATTTCAAGGCTTAGCAAGAAGTTCCTTATAACTAGACCATGTCACTGGCCCAGTCTCCTTGTTTATAAGGGGACGGGGTTGTTTTGTTTTCAACTGGGCAAGGTGTACTCCCAGCACTCAGGAAGTTGAAACAGAGGACCTCAAGTTCAGGCCGGATTGGGTTACACAGTGAGAATCTGTCTGGGGGGGGGGGGGGGGGGGAAGGCTACTGGAGCAGCTCACAGATTAAAAAAAAAAAAAACTTTGTCTAGCATGAACAAAGTCCTGAATCTGATCCTCAGCATGAAAAAACAAAAGGAAAAGGAGAAAAAAGTTTGATTTGTTGTTTGGTTTAGCAACTTACAAAATGTTTTTCCTATTTATTTATTCTTGTGTCCGTTGTAGGGGCCAGTGTGCCAGTAGAGCAGCAGAGGTCAGAGGACTTTCAGCAGGTGGCTCTCTCCCTCCCACCATGAGTCTCAACCATCACACTGGTCAGGCTGGTGGCATGTGCCTTTCACCCACTGAGCCATCTCACTAGCTGAAAAAGTTGGTTTTAATGTTCATACTTAATTTGTTAAGATTTTAAACTTTTCTGAGAACTTATAAACACATTCAATTCCATCTTACTCAGCAGAAAATGTCTTAAAATATTGGGAAACAATAAAATAAAATCAACAGAACTTTCTAAATACTAAGAGCTAAACTTTTTGACTCAAGAGTGTCCCATAGCACAGGTTGACCTCCAACTTGCTCCGCAAGCCCTAGGATGGACTTGAGGCTTTGACCCTACTGAGTGCTGAGATTACAGGGACATGCCTTCATGCTAGGTTTATTCCACACTGGTTTAAACCCAGGGCCTTGTGTATGATAACTACTTACTTCAACTGAACTACATGCTGTCCTAACTGAGTCTAGGCTGTCCTCAAACTCAAAAAGATCCTCCTGCCTGACCCTCCCCAGAGTTGTGATTACAGGCATAAACCACCATGCCTCGGCTAATCTCTTTTAAACCTGTGTAAGTCTAAGTAAAAAAAAAATAATAGCATCAATGACTTGATGGTAATCGTACACATCTGTAATCCCACCACTAGGGAGTCAAAAGTCAAAAAACTGGAGTTCAAGACCTGCATACCAATTCTGAGGCCAGCCTGGGCTACGTGAGACCCTGTATCAAAAAAGAAAAAAGAAACAGCATAGAGTCCAAACACACACTTTTATTTAAGCACCTCTAGAAGGGAAAATATTTAGATGTACATTTTCTGTATTGACAAGCAAAGATTACATAACAAAATAATTTCTGATCCAATTTATGAGATATGCCCTGGCCCCGGACAGAAAAGCAGAGGGGAAAAGGTATTGGCGAAATATATTTGAGCAAAGTGAAACAAGATATATGTACAAGAATGCCATAACCATTAATTTTTATCCCAACTAAAGATCGTAACATACACAAATGCCAATGAAAACAGAAATTATGTATGTCTGACATAAATTTTCATTCCTTTTTGCAAAAGACTCTCAAGTATCTAGGACAATGTATAACTTTCTCCTTTAAAAGAAACCAGTTAAGTTTCTTTTAAAGTTTAAGTTACTGTCTCAATATCATTACTTGTCTAAATGTGCCCCTCCCAAACGGTTATACTTGATTCTTTAAAGAATGCACTTTGGAGCCGGGTGGTGGTGGCTGCGGCGGCGCATGCCTTTAATCCCAGCACTCGGGAGGCAGAGCCAGGCGGATCTCTGTGAGTTCGAGGCCAGCCTGGGCTACCAAGTGAGTTCCAGGAGAGGCGCAAAGCTACACAGAGAAACCCTGTCTCGAAAAACCAAAAAAAAAAGAATGCACTTTGGGACCAGGAGTGGTGACGCATGCCTTTTAATCCCAGCATTTGGGAGGCAGAGGCAGGCAGATCTCTGAGAGTTTCAGGCCAGTCTGATCTAGCTCCAGTACAGCCAGTGCTGTTACAGAGGAAATGTCTGGGGAGGAAGGGGGTGAATGCACTTTGGGGTCAGATTTTGGCTCAACTGGCAGAGTGCTTGCCTATCCTACACAAAGCCCTGGGTTTCCTCCTCCTGATCGTGCAACCCAAGAACAGTAGTGCATGCCTGAAATCCTAGCACAGGGAAGGCATGAAGATAGCCTGGGCTACTGGAGACTCAAAACAATCTGGGGGTGTAATGGCATAGGCCTTTAATCCCAGTACCCTGGAGGCAGAAGCAGGAAACCCTCTGGGTCTTAAGGCAAACCTGGGCTATAAAATTAATTGAATTCCAGATGAGAAAGAGCTGATGAGACCCTGTGTCAAAATAATAAAAACTGAAATAAAAATTTCACTTTGGCATCTTATGCTCCAATTTCCCTTTCTCCTCTTTGGTAGGGCACTTCTCATTACATGACAACTTCCTTAGGCTCACACCTATAATTTCTGTACTTGAGAGCTAATGAAGGGGATTGCTGCATGTCTGGGTACCTGGGCTACATAGAAAGACCCTATCGAAAAACACAAAAACTTCCACCACTCAGTGTTAGCCTCAGAGATAGGAAGGGTGGATAGGCTGATGACCACACAGTAAGCCACCAAAACTATTACCTAGTCTTTCGTCCTGGATCCCTTTACCACTTGAAATGGACGGTCAGAAACTTCAATAACCAGAAAGATATCTTAGAGAGGTCCCCAGTATTTGGGGAGGGGGGGTGTGTGATTCAAAGCATTCTAATGATAGTACCCAAAAATAAACTTAAGACTCTTCTCTGGAGCCATGCAGGCTGTGCTGCAGCCACTGACCCGCTTTCCCCCAACAGCCCAAGTCAGCTCAGCCCAGACACTCCCTCCCTCATGGGCGCCTTCCACTGTCTTCACAGAAGCACCCAGTGGCAGGCAGGCAGCAGCGAGCGGGGTCTCTGCCAAGGAGCTTGGGGTGCAGCAGGGCCCAGCACCTTCCCTCGCTCCCTCCACCTGGAGAGGCAGGTTGCCCCAGACCACAGGAAGTCTCCTGACACACTGCGGCAGAGGGAGCTGGCAGGGCAGGGGAGGGGAGGGGAGGGGAGGGGAGAGGTGGGAGGGGAGGGGAGAGGTGGGGGGGGGGGAGGGAGGAGAAAGCCTCCGGTGCCCAAAGCCACCACACCGTCCTGGGGACTCCAGCGCGGGTCGCACGCTCCTACCCTCCCCAGGCGCAGACCCGGCCCGACGCAGGCAGCCAGGCAGCCAGGCACCAAATGACACTTGAGAGAGTGAGCGCGGAATCCCATGACAGCCCGGGGCCACACGCACTTTCTCCCGCAGGCCGAGGCACGGCCCGCGCCCGCGGCCACCACGCCGGGCTCCCGCGGCCCTGCGCACGGGGCGGGGCGGGGCCGCGGGCCGGCCGGCGGGCGGGCGAGCGGGCGGGCGGGCGGGCGAGCCGGGGGAGGGGCGGCGGTGGCAGTTGCCGCCGAGGGAAGGGGGGGGGGGGGCAGTGACGGTTGGGAGCAGGCCGGTTCGGCCCGGCGGGCGGTTGGGTGTTTACCTTGATGCACCGCGACGCTGCAGCCGTGCCCGTCGCAATAAACCAGCGGGTTCTCGGCCCAGCCTCTCTCGTCTGAGCAAACGCAACAGCCTCCAATCATTTCCTTCATACTATGGGAGACCTCGTCCTCCAGTGACACGGGCCGGTCGCTAGAGACCATCTAAGAGGGAGTTGGGGGGGACCATTAACAAACACGAGCAAGGCAGCCAGCGCTCCCCACACGCAGCCCCGTCGCCCGCCCGCTCCGCTCCGCTCCGCCCGGCCCCGGCCCCGCACGCCCGCCCGCCCGCCCGCTCGGCCGCTCGCTCACTCGGGCTTTGCCGCTCAGTCACTCACGTTCCGTACAGGAGTCAGGAGCCATGTCCTTGCTGACTCCCCCCCCCCCCACCTCCCCGCCACCGCCTCCTCCTCCTCCTCCTCCTCCTCCTCCGCGGCGTCCTCCCTCCCCACCTCCACCCGGCCGCTAACGCCGCCGCCCGAGGAGGGCACACATAATCAAGCAGGCCTCCGCACAGGCGCACTGGGGGGCTCCCGCTGGGCCCGGGGCGGCGAGGGAGGGGAAGGGGCTGCGCTTCCTCCTCCGAGCGTCACCCGGCGTGCGCGCCGGCCCGCCCTGCGGCCGGCGTCAGGGAGGCGGCCCCGGGAGAGGCGAGGCCTTGCGTGCGCGCCGCCGCGTCCGTGCCCCGGCCCCAGCCTACCTCCAGGTTTTCCCCTCCCCCGCACCGCTCGGCGGCGCCGAGGTGTGCGGAGGTGGGGGAACCGACGAGCGGAGCCGGCTGCTCGGCGCGGCCGGAGTGAGTCTACCGGAGGGCTCCGGGGCGCGCGCGGGGCCCGGGGACGTTGGGCCGCCCTCGCCTCGCGGGCCCCGGGCCGCGCGTGGGGCAGAGGCCGCGGCGGGCGGGGGCCGGAGTCGCTGAAGGGGGGTGCCCCCGGGGGGCGTCCGTCTCGCGTGGCACTGGGAACCTACCTGAAGGCCTGTGCCTCGAGAACTGGCCCGCGGGTAACAATGGTTGGGAGAGGGTGCCAGCTTCCATGAAGGGTGTAATGAAGCATGGCTTCCTGCAGTTGGCCGCTCTAACTTCCCAGTACTGTCGCAGCTTCACCTCCCATTAAATTCACGTCCTGGATCCCTCCCAAAGTTCACCCAGTGGAAGTGTTGCCATATCTACCGCCCACTTACGCACCACCTTGGCCCCCGTGACAAATGAAAGTGCACCAGACAGGTCAAAAGCTTGTGTTTGGGTTATGCTCTGAGCCGGAGCCCCAAGACTACATTATAGCTTGGTAGGGATACAAATGATAGCGGGCATTAGCAACCTAATGGAGTGATCTGGAAAATGCAGCTATAGGACGAAGGAACCCACGTTCTAGCCTGTCACCAAAGGATAACACCAGAGTGTGGTGCTCACTTTTGCTTGAGGATTCCTCTCATCTAGCTTGTTTCTCCAAATTTACCTTTGCAAATGTGATGTCATTTAAGTGGGAGAAATATGGGAGCTCTCATACACAAATAGAGAATAGATTAGACCAATGTGAGCAGATTAATTAGCTGGATGCTGAGTAGTTTTTAGCTAAAAAAAAAAAAAATACTATCTCCCTATTCCTTTCTCTATGTACATTCAACATTGATAATAAGCAAAAAGTGTTAAGCCATTAAAGTTTAGCATGAAATGGAAATTATGGATAGATTGTTTAAATGACAAACAGTTCCAAGACAACTTCATGGCTTTTGGTTAATTACTTGGGGGTACAAAGGGGTTTATTAGAAATTAACAGTATTATATAGTCTGGAAAATGCACTTACTCAATGCTAGAATGCCTAAGTTCTAGGCACTCCCCAGATAATGTAATAATTTAAGTTTTAAAATATTGAAAAAAGGTAATGTGGCTGCTCTTTTTCTATTTCAAAATAAGTGCTAAAAGTCTAAGAATAGCAATAGACACAGCACAATGCAAGCATCTATTGGCAAATATATTCAAATGTTTCAAAAGCTATGAGAGGTATCTACATTAATGGGGAGTCTACCAAAGCTTGGGATAGGGAAAAAATGTGCTCTAAAATACAAAATTGAGAGTTCTCTTTTAATCTTAATACATTTAGAAATGGTGACTACAGATTAGTAAAATGACATTTTGAAGAGGATATGCTAATAATAAATTTCTGGACCTCTAATGATGCTCTTAACTATGAAGTGTTGAATCTAAAGCAACCTTCAAACAGTATACTGTTTTGTTTATCTTAACTGTACAGAATATTTTATCTTTACCCTTATACAAAAGAGATCAGTTCAATGTCTGATTCATGCTCTGCTTCCTAATGTAGAGTAATTTTGAGTTCAAATCAATGTGGAACTTCCCAAACACTGCAATCAAGCCTTAATGCACTAAATTATTTAAAAATACATTCATTTTATTTTTAATGCATCGGAGCTTAGTTCTTGTGATGGAATTAATTTGTATGCAAAGAAGGATAAGTACCTTACCTCATTCTATAACACCTAATAAATATAGGTAAATACTTGCTCTTTTCAAAAAAAAATGATCATTTATATGAAGTTTTGAAATACCAAAAAAAAAAATGGGGAAGAGGATGATGTGTAAAAGAAAAAATAGGAAAGATGCACAATTTTTAACAGGTTTTTATGTAAATAATAGTATCTGAAGCAGAAATTTTGTGAAAGATACATAAATGCATATATGTTGACACACTAGAATTCAAATTACTTAAAATCAATTTTTAACGTTCTATAATGGAGTCATAAAAATAAGGAAAGTTATTGGGAATTCATAGGACACCTCATTTTAACTGATGTACAAGATACTGAACTTTTTGTTGTTTTGTGTCTAAAGTACAATATTTGGTATATTTCTATAATATATCAAGTACAAAAGAAGAACAGGCAGAATATGCTCAAATATGCAGTGAATTATTCACTCAGTAAATATTTACTGAACAGTCAGTGTGTGCCAGGAACTCTTGTATACAGGGAATATAGCAACGAGAAAACTGTATTTGTCCTTTATGAGATACGTATAGTCGCATACTGCGCGGACACATATAATAAAAACACTAAGCTAAATATGCTAATCCTCACGTCGCAGAATGGGCAAAACTTGTTCAAGAACATTTTTTTTAAATTAGTGGTACAAATTATATTGCCAGGTGATTGATAGAATATCTTTCTAGAAAAGAACTTCAATATTAATGTTCCCATTTAAATCCAATTCCATATTCCCCAAATACTCACTTACATCTTGTACCTGTAGGAAAGAACGAAAAGCCTATTGTCTCGAATATTCTTCACATAATAATGTCTAACACGGTACAGGCTCATCTATTTCCTCTAAACTAATCATCTGAGGCAAACCACAAAAAACTCAAATAAAGTATTTTATGATGTAACCTCTAACCCTACTATAATGGGAAAATGTATTTTCACTCCATGGGCAATATATCTTCTTATAATTTTCTTTAGTCCCTAACCTAGACACCAACTTTTCAAATTTGCTTTTCCATAATCACTTACCTAAGTAGATTCTATGAAAAAAATATTTAAAAATGTATTTGGTTCATAGGTTATCTGTGTTCATATTTATCCCCTTTTTAAACTATAGTTTTGTTTGCCTTCTGTTTGTATGTATTATATCTAGTTTAAGATTATTTTCTATAATACGGCATAGAAACTAAGGTATATTTCTGTATGATTGTGAATATTTCTATAATAGTTAACACTATATACCGTCCTTAACTAGATTCTTTACTTTGAGGAAGCATTTTAGATGTTATATTACCCTCACACTTATTTTCTAAACAATTGGAACTCATTTATTATAAAACTTTATTGAAAACTATAACGTTGTTTCCAAATAAATCAGCTGGAAACCTTAAAAAAAAAATCCAGTTTCTTATGATCCACATACACTTTCAGATAAAATTTGCGTAAAAAGTTGTTTTATTCATTTGATACCTAAAGTTTTACCTTTAGTGTGAAAAGTTTATCACAAGCTATATATATTTATATTATTTTAATTATTTTAATAAGTATTTTGAAACTGGTTTGTTCTTTACAATAAGTGGCTCTTGTGTCTTTATAGATGCAAACCCTACACGTGTCTCCCATATGTATTATATATTCAAATTTCATGAAAGAGTATTCTTTTCAATTATGTTTTCAGTTGAAAATCTGTTAATGACTTTTGCAAGATTCTATTTAATGAGCCATGTTAGCCTTCTTGATGATTTTTTTTCTTACCATAGTGCTTACCAAGTGCCTAGCCAGGAGTAGTAAACCTCTAGAAGCATTGTTTAATATACAACATTGGTGTTGAAACAGATGAGTGCAGTCTGAAATTTATACTTCAGAATAAAGCAAGTCTACTCTGCATACACAATCAAACTAAAATTTCTAAGAATTTTTCTAGTAAGTCAAATCTTCAAAGATTTTCAATAGTTAGAATTAATATACTAGACGTGAAAGAAGAGGGTTTTTAATTTTATTACTGTATAATAATTGTACAATATAATGGGTTTCATTATGGTATATTCATGAATGTATAGCATGTCCTTGCTTTCATCATATTTACTCCTCCATTACCTTCTCTAGTCCCCTCTGCCCCTCCCCCTCCCCGGTCATCTTCCCCTTTCCAAACAGTCCCCTTCTGTTTTCCAGTCTTTTATGTTTCTTAATCTAGATTCAGCATATGAAGGAAAACATGCCCTATTTCTCTTTCTGAGTTTGTTAGAGTTTGCATTTACCAGATTATTTACAATTGTCCACATTGTGACTTTTCACATAAAAGTCACAACTGTATTTGGAAAAGTCTCTTAGGATCAATTATAATTAATATTATTTGTAAATGCATTTAACTTTTGGAAAGTGGGGTGATTTGCAAAGTGATTCTCAAATTTAAATCTATGTTATCTAAATTTAAAATGTTTCTAAAGACCAAGATCTAGTATTTTCTCAAAGAGTTTGCTTTGCTTAACCTTGCGTTTGGCTTCAGAGCTGTTTCTTTTGCTATAAAATTAATACTAATAAAAACGTAATACACTTACATTTTCACATTTTAGGAGATTAAACCACCACATAATTTCCAATAGAAAAACAGTATCTCTAGAACGCCTTTAAAACTTTTGAGTGCTACATAACCCTAAACATTCAAAGTGGTGCTTTTTCCTGTGATCAACAACACTTAAAGCTGACTTTTCAGGGTGTCATCAATATAATGTAGGGCCCATTTTCCATTTTTTTTACTGACATTGAAGATTTCCATCTCTGGTATAATTAAAGTGTAATTAAAGTGACATATTCTGCTGTCTGTTGATAGGACACAATAAGATTATGTTAAGTGAAAAATTCCCAACATACAAAGAGGAAAATCAGTTTTGGAAATGGAAGAGTCCTTAGAAGAAATGAAACATATCTGAGACTGAAAAAAAAAAGAAAGGAAAGAGAAGAAAAGAACAAATTAAGCTGAATTGCTAAATAGTATTTGGACTAAAGAAGGTCACTTTTTAAGATTTAAATGTTTTCCTCTGTGAAAGGGGCCACTGCTTCCCAAATCCAGAAACAAGCCTACGAATATGTTAATTAAGTGCATTGTGTCCCAGAAAGAATGAGTTTGACAAATTCATTTTTATTCTTTCAATTAATAAAGTGTTTGTCTAGCCATCTAAGATTTTTTAAATCTATAATGTGTATATTTGCCATTGTACAGTAACAGTGCCAAGGACCCACATGACCCCATAGGGTGAATCTTATGAAGCTTAACATTCCTGGCGAATTAAACACACAAGCCTCAGATTTTTTGTCAGTCTTACCTTCCTGTGGAACTGAGAGCCAGAATGAAGGTAATTTTTATACGGTGGCACTTTAGCCCAATTAAAAAAGCAATCATCTTTGGCACAAGCAGAGGGAGCAAATATAATGGCATAATATTAAAGAAAGGTTTCACAAAGACTGACCAGGAATGCTACTCCCTCTCCGTCCCCACCCCACTCTTACTTTTTTCCCTGCCCATTTGTTGTTTTTCTCACAAGTGTATCCTGACTTTTCATTTTTTCTTTTACTTTGAATGAAACAAAAAACATCTCAGATAGTAAAAGACGTAAAGAAGATTCATCTTCTGCTACCAACTACATAACAGATAAACTTGCAAAGCTATTCTAAATATTCAAAGGCTTATAAATAAAAAATGTAAATTGAGCAGGGGATGAGTGTGAAACAGAATGGACAGATTGAAAATACTTAATTTTCAACCTCGATTTTTCTCCTATTCCAACCTTCCCATAGTTATGCTTTAAATGACTTCTCGCATAAAATTTTTCCCTGTGCTTCGAAATAAGTGAATGATTTCCAGGAGGAAATGGAGCTTTAGAAAGAAGACCTGCAAAATGAAAGTGTTCAAATGCAAACTACTTCTCTAGCATTTCAAATGCAAAATCACAACCTTCACCACCTTTAACTGACTCTTAAGGGGTCTTTTCAAATATGCTATTTACGACATCATCTGTTAACTTCATTTTCTAATTCAAAACTCTTGCCAAATGATGTTTTCATGATGACGTGTAAATATAATATTCCATTAGAGATCAATTCTAATTGGTTTTTTAAAATCCACCTTGGGAAACAGTGCTGCATAATACACAGACTCGTAATGAGTATTTTAGAAGGAATTTCCACAAAGTCTATTATAATTCCTAAATCCAAATTACTCTTTTTCCTAGTAAGCTTTGGGCCACAGGACTGAAATTATTTCTTCACGAGTTCTCACGCAGGAGGACTTTTGTCTTGTCTACAAGACCAGGATCACTTGTTGGAAATCTTCATTTTTTAAAAACTGACGTTTGCCAAAAATATTTTTCCCACATGACCCACAAAGGAAAACAGTTTCTTAGGATGGGTTGCAATTTATTTTGTTTCCAAACCGTGGTTTAAAGTCATAATGGACGTTTTTCCCCTTTGAAATTCCCTGTTATTTTGGAAACGCGATTCACCTTAACAAACCAAGCCCCTTTTTGTTAGAGCCCTTCCTTTTAAAACCAGACTTCTTGTACACAACAAAGAGCTGCGTAGTAACAAATGAGGACAAAAAAACGTGCTTTTCCGAACTCCTTTGAACCCTAACGCTCATTTTCGAATCCCTACATTTAAAGACATTTTAAATATTATATAAAATCTGCTCTAATTTCCCATGGGGGGGGTGGCCCACATTGTCGCTTATCTAGTGATGACTTTATAAACATCTATGCAGCTTTCTTTCCCGGGTAACGTGGGAGCTGGCCTCAAGTCTTGCCGTGCAGCTGCACGTTGTGAAAGCGCCTTTCTACGAGGTCTGCGGCTGGGAAAGCCCCTTGCAGGCCACGGAGGGTCATAAAAGCGGCCGGGCCGAGCCGGGGGAGCCCTGTGGACTTCCGCGGGCCGCAGGCTGGAGAGGACGAGGCGCAAATCCCTCCCCCGGGAAAAAGGCGTCGCAGGGCTTCGGCGCTAGGGCGGAACAATGGGAGCAGCCTGGAGCCCCGCGGCTCCCGCTTCCTCCGCCTCAGCCCCCGGG